TCCGCGCCGAACTGCGCGAGATTCCGAGGTGCTCGGACCCGCGCCTTGTCTGGTCGGCAGCCCAAGACTGCCGGACAGCAACCCTCGTCCACCTAAGCACCAGAAGCGGCAGCGCGCAGCTCCGACCTGCCCGCGCCGCCACCTCCGCTGCACGCACACACGCACGCAAAGTACTGGTAGAGGGCGGTGACGCCCCGTCAAGTACTGGCACGACCGAGGATGGGGAAGAGGCGGGAAGAAACTGCGCTCTGTCGTGACGTCACCACGCTGGGCCGGGCCGCAGGAGCCGCCCCTCCTCTTTTGACCCTGACGGATAACGAAGGGTGAGCCATACTCTTTGCGCCACCAGATGGCGCGCCCTCCCCTATGAACAGCGATGATTTCCGCAAGGATGCTGGGGAATTGAAGGTATTTGGGCTGCTGGGTTTTCTGTGAGAACTCAAAGGGGCGTTAGAAGGAGGAGGGCAGAATAGGCTCAGTGTTACATGCTTTCTACACCACCCTTTGTGGCCTCCACCTCTGTCTCCTTCTAGGCCTTGCCTGTTTACAGGTCTTTCAGGCTGCAGCGCTGCTGTGAAGAGGTCATTGGGATAGGGCTGGTGGGGAAGAGGATGGAGAGTTGGAGACAGAAGGAGAAGACCAGGCCAGGTTGGCTTTTCTTTAGGCATTGGCTTCTGCCAAGTCCCAGCAGCTATCCAGGGCATTCGTGGCTGCTCACACACTTCCTGCATCCTACTATGTGCAGTGTCTGTGCTGAGGCCCTGGATAGCAAAGGTGGGTGTGACACATCTTGTATTTTGCAAGGTTTAGCTACACTGGAGAGGCCAAGCCTGTTTGTAACCTAATTTCAGCTGCGGGAGCTTGTCCTTTGAGTCAAATGACATTGGCTCCAATTCCCACGTCCTGTGGAAAGTCCATTGCCCTCCCCAGGATTTCTGTGAATTACCGGGTGAGGGGGGACCTTAGATTTTCATGGACACCTCTGGCTCTGCTTTTCTGCCTTGTTTGGAATTTTATCAATTGTTCCAGCCTTGTGACTATCTCTTTAGTTCCTGCTGTCAGCTCAGCCCCTTCTCCTTTCAACCCCCACACCTATTCCAGAGCAACCACGAAACGAGGCGGTAACATATAGCAGAACTTTTAATGATTGTTTTTGGATCACAGGGGAGAGGTTACATAACACAGCAAACAATTTAAAATCACATTTCTGAAATGTTCCAAGCAGTTATTTTGGCTGTCTCACCACCCTGGGATTTCTCAATGGCCACACCACCCCACAAAACTCCCTAGTCCATTGCCCGTCTAGCTTCCTCCAGTTCTTTCCTCCCCTTCCCGTCTTTCACCTCTCTCTCCCCTCCTTAGTGGGCCCTGTTCTTCTCTACTGTGCTGAGCAAGTCAAGTCTTTCCCAGTGAATTTTCCCTGACTTCTGCTCTAAGCCCACCATTTTATAACCAGGAACCCACCAGGTTCAAGTCAGCCTTGTCGAGGAAGAAGTTTTGGTTCTGATATTTTCCCCCCACTGATTTATGTTGACTCCTGGGGAGGGTGTGAAATGGCCACTTCTGGGGCTCCGGAAGTCTCCATAGAAGAAAGCTGTGTCCCAACTACTCAGCTTTATGAAGTGTGGTGCTTGAAGAGGGCCTGGAGGGGCACGTACTCTGCAGAGCCTTGTCTTGTTAGATTCCTGTCCTCTGACCACTCTTTTGAGTGCTCAGATTTTCCTCTCAGAGGCATTCCTGTGGCACCAGGGGCAGAGAGACGGAGATCAGAATACCAGATTCATTCATATGGATGCCAGACATCTCTTTGTCCTCATCTTCTGCTGGGGGTCAGAAACCACACCTGGGCCACTCAGGGATCTTTGATGATTTCTTCCTCATGGGTCCACTAGAACTGTGATCACAGCCCATGGATCAGAGCTGCCTGCTCTATATTAGTAACAGAGCCTGTCTATTGAAACTGAGACGGAAACTCCAAGTCCCTTGAACAGAAAAACAAGTGAGATAATAATTACTATTATTATATTTAGGAAACACAGATGTGTCTGACTACTTTTTGGATTTGAACTTTTAAGTTCCCGTTGTCTTAGTGCTTTTTCTCTCAGTCCCTAGTTCCCTGTGCCTTTAGCACCCACGTGGTGAGCATTCCTCTTCTTTTCTTCTGGACTCAGAAAACGAAGGATTGCCCTAACGCCAGGCCCACAAATGCTCCTGTTGCTAAGGATGGCAAGAACAGAGCCAGATCTAAAGGAGACAGAATCTTACTTAGCACTGTGGGCCAAGAAGGAGACCAGCAGGTCAGACTCCATTTACCTGAATGCTTGGCCAGAGTGGAGATCGATGAACTGGCCCAGCAGAGCTGAGGATGCTCAGACTAAAGGCAAGAAGGGAGGTACCCTCTTCCCCGGTGGAGAGGCAGGAGGCCTCTGTGATTCACTTTAGACCAGAGACGGGCATTCCTGGAAACCAGCCACTGTAGAAGACACGGGTGGCTGCTAGCCCCCTACCGAATGTGAACTAGAGATCAAAGTGTTCACTCAGCCAGGGAGTGTGACAACATAGCATCCTGCCCAGTTCTCAGATGGCTTCATACGGCCCAGCTAAGGGAACTGCTCCACATGGAAGCATAAAATGACTTGTCTTTAGCCACCCAACCCCCTGACAATGCCTTTACTAGTAAGCTCACCCCTCCTGAAGAGCACAGTGCGTGTGCAAATGAGACACTTATTCGGGACCCAGTGTTTGAGGAGAGTACGAACCCAAGGTCAGGAATGTCTGCTGTGTGTGACAGTGGTATGTCTTCAAAGTGTCTGGAGACAGGAGGGGATCCAGCTCTTGAAAGAAGTGGCCTGTAAGTAGAGATGAGATATTCTCACCAGAAATGTTGTGGACCTGAGATTTCACCTGTGAACTTGGTGTGGTTAATCAAATCCCTTCTTCATCCTCCCAAATTTATTCTTATAAAGTGTATAGTCATGTGCCATATACAATGTTTCAACCATTAGCAGATTGAATATATGACAGCAGTCCCATAAGATGATAATGGAGGTCTGCGATCACCCGGCGGTGTGCGCGTGAGCTCCCGGCCTGCGCGACAACAGACCCAGGAAGGACCCAAGGACCCCAGAGGGGGTTTTTCTCAGCTGCCTGCCTACCTGCCTGTCTGCGATCACCCGGCGGCGTGCGCGTGAGCTCCCGGCCTGCGCGACAACAGACCCAGGAAGGACCCAAGG